TCTTGGATGAGGTTTGGATTTTGGATGAGGTTTGGATTTTGGATGAGGTTTGGATTTTAGATGAGGTTTGGATTTTGGATGAGGTTTGGATTTTGGATGGTTGGAACTTGGATCATGGTTGGATCTTGGATCACAGTTGGATCTTGGATGGTTGGATTCTGGATGAGGTTGGATCTTGGATGAGGTTTGATCTTGGATGAGGTTTGGACTTTGGATGAAGTTTGGATTCTGGATGAGGTTTGGTTCTTGGATGGTTGGATCTTGAATGAGATTGGATCTGGGATAAGGTTGGACCTTGAATGAGGTTTGGATTTTGGTTGATGGTTGGATCTTGGATGAAATTTGGATCATGGTTGGATCTTGGATGAGGTTTCAATTTTGGATGGTTGGAATTTGGATGGTTGTATGTCGGATGGTTGGACCTTGGGTGAGGTTGGCTCTTGGATGAGGTTTGGATTTTGGATGAGGTTTGGATTTTGGATGGTGGTTGGATCTCAGATCACAGTTGGATCTTGGATGAAGTTGGATCTTAAATCACATTTGGATCTTGGATGAGGTTTCGCTCTTGAATGAGGTTTGGGTTTTGGATGAGGTTTGGATCTTGGATGGTTGGATCTTGGATCACATTTGGATCTTGGATGGCTGGATCTTGGATGAGGTTGGATCTTGGGTGAGGTTTGGATCTTGAATGGTTGAAACTTGGATCATGGTTGGACCTTAGCTGAGGTTGGATCTTGGATGAGATTTGGATCATGGTTGGATCTTGGATCACGTTTAGGTCTTGGATGAGGCTGCAATTTTGGATGGTTGGAATTTGGATGGTTGTATGTTGGGTGGTTGGACCTTGGATGAGGTTGGATCTTGGATGAGGTTGGATCTTGAATGGTTGGAACTTGGATCATGGTTGGATCTTGGATCACGTCTGGATCTTGGATGGCTGGATCTTGGATGAGGTTGGATCTTGGATGAAATTGGACCTTGGATGAGTTTGGACCTTGGGTGAGGTTTGGATCTTGGATGGTTGGAACTTGGATCATGGTTGGATCTTGGATGGCTGGAACTTGGCTGAGGTTGGACCTTGGCTGAGGTTGGATCTTGGATCACATTTGGACCTTGGATGAGGTTTCAGTTTTGGATGGTTGGATCTTGGATGAGGTTTGGACCTTGGATGGTTGATCTTAGATCATGGATGGATCTTGGCTCATGGGTGGATCTTGGATGGATCTTGGATGAGGTTTGGAGCTTGGATGAGGTTTGGATCTTGGATCACATTTGGACCTTTGATGGTTGGATCTTGGATGGCTGGACCTTGGCTGAGGTTGGATCTTGGATCACATTTGGATCTTAGATGAGGTTTCAGTTTTGGATGGGTGGATCTTGGATGAGGTTTGGAGCTTGGATGAGGTTGGATCTCAGGTGAGGTTTGGATCTTGGCTGAGGTTGGATCTTGGATGAGGTTTGGACCTTGGATGAGGTTTGGACCTTGGATGGTTGGGTTTTGGCTGAAGTTTGGATCTTGGATCACGTTGGGCCCTTGACTGAGGTTCAGGAGCTTTTTTTGGCTACAAAGATCCGAATTTCCGATGGGGATGGAGCCGAACCCGCGGATTCTCCTGGAAATAGGAGGGGATGGAACAAAACCAGACTGATTCTGAATTAATTAATTCACCGCTAATTAATTATCGTCCTTTTGCACTTTGCTGCTTTCCAGGCCTGGAATTCCCTCTCCAGCTCTTTCCCTAAAATCCTTCGGAGCCAATCCTGCTTTTTTTTCATTTATTTGCACTCGGTGGTGACGAAAACATTTTGAGGCTTTTCCAGAATTCCCAAAAAAATGGGAATATTTTCAATTCCAGGCTGAAATTTGCACTTGGTTCTGGTTGAGGGCAGAAATGATTGAAATTCCAGGGGAAAAATTCCCATTTCAGCCATCCACTGGAATTTTTAATTGAAATTTAGAATTTGGAAATTTTTTAGATTTTAATTTTAAATTATTTATTTAAATTTAAATATATTTTAATATTAATTTATTTTTTATTTAAATTTAAGTATATTTTAATTCAATTTTTTTATCTAAATTTAATTTTTTAAATTTAAATTTCAATCTTTTTTAATTTAAATAAATTAATTTTCCTTTTTTTATTTGAATTTATATCCTTTTTATTTAAATTTAAACCTTTTTTAATTTAAATTTAATTATATTTTAATTTATTTTGTAACAAATTTAAATATTTTTGAATTTAAATTGAATTTTTGAACGTTAATATTTTGAATTTAAAGTTAATTGTTGAATGTTAATTTTTGAATTTAAATTTAATTTTTGAACGTTAATTTTTTGAATTTAAATTTAATTTTTACATGTTAATTTTTGAATTTAAACTTAATATTTTAATTTCAATTCCATTTTTATTTCAATTTAAATATTATTTTAATTAAAATTTTGATCTTTTTTTTTAATACAAATTTAATTTTTATCATTTAAATTTCAATTTTTTTGCTGTTGCTTTCAAATCCCACACTTCCAACTCAACATTTTTCATATCCTTGGATTCAGTGGGAATTTTTTCCCAATTTTTTTTTGGGAATCCGGCCTAATTTTGGGAGAAGAAGACCCCAAACGGCGCCGAGGGCGTTGTTTCCGATGTTTTATCCCTTCATCTTCCGTAGGATCGGAATCAAAATTATTCCAAGTTTTTTTTTCTGGGATAATCCGCCGATAATTCCGTATCCATGGATTTTTTTCCCGGGAATCCGATCCTCTCCGAGCTTCTCCCGTTGTTTCCCATCCCCCACAAATCGCTGCCGCTTTTCCGGGAGAGGAGAAGAAACTTCCCACCCTTCATTTTTCCCTGGATTTCCCGGCGGATTTCCGCACCAAATCCGTGTTTTTTGAGGATCTGGGATTTGGGATGATTCCAACCCGGAATTCCCGAATGGAAATCTTTGGGATTTGAGCGTTTTTTGGGTGTTTTTTGTGCCATATTTTTTATCGTGGTGGGGTTTTAGCACTGACTCCGTGTTTTGTGGTATGTGTCGAGTCCAACGTATCCCAAAAAAAATGTGGAATATTCCTTGGAAAACCCATCCCGGAGCTGTAAATCGCCTGAATTCCGTGTGCCAGAAGGATTTTCCACCTGTAATTCCTTATTAAATCTCTCGGAATTGTGATTTTTTTTTTTTCTCTCTCCTGTCTTTGCTTTGCTGGGAATTTGTGGGAAAAATCTATCCCAGTTTTCCTGCGGGATGGGAATTCACGGATTCCGGGATTTAGGAAGGGTTTCTTTGGGATTCAGATAATAAATAGATTTAAAGCTGATTTATCCTTCTCTTAGCCCATAGCTCACAACAAAAATCGTTATTAAATAGTTATTTAATAATAATTATTAAGTAGTTATTGAACAATAGCATTAATAATAGCATTAATAATAGCAATAATAATATTAATGTTATATAATGTAATGGTAATGTAATGCTAATATAATAGAATGTAATGATAATGGTAATGGTAATATACTATTATATAATAATTATGATAGTAATATAATATAATATAATGTAGTATAATAGAATGTAGTAGAATGTAATATTATTAATATAAAATATAATGTAATGTAATTGCAATATAATTGGAATATAATTAGAATTATAACATATTATGTACAATTAATATATAATATAGTGTAATGTAATATCTAATATAATATTAATATAATTAATATAACAATGTATACAATTAATATATAATATAATATATAATGTAATATATATTGATTTATATTATATATGATATATATTTTATATATTATTATATTATATTATATATTATATATAAAATGTATATAACATATATATAATAATGTATATAATGTAATTACAATAAAATGTAATTATATAATAATTATAATATATGCAATTAGAATATAATATATAATATTAATATAATATTAACATAATTAATATATTATAATATATGCAATTAGAATATAATATATAATATTAATATAATATTAACATAATTAATATAACACAATATACAATTAATATATAATATATAATGTAATATATGTTTATATATTATATATATTATAAATGTTATAATATATTATATAAAAAATATATAAAATAATGTATATAATGTAATTACAATATAATGCAATTATAATATAATTATAATTATAACATAATACATACAATTAATATATACTCTAATATTAATATAATTAATATAACACAATATATACTATTAATATATAATATATAAAACTATATAAAACTATAATATAAATATAATATAAATATAATGTAATATAATTTTAATAGAGTACAATAGAGTAGAATTAATTCTGTAATTAATACTAGAAATACAATATATAATATAAATTTATTTATTAAATTAATTATTATTAAATTATTAGCAGGTATTATTTGATTTATTATTATTAACGGCTTTATTTTAACCCGCCACATTTAACAACTCAAATCAACAAACCTAAACCCATGGAATGGGATGATCCCTAAAATCCATCCCAAACCCTTCCAGGGTTTTCTGGGATTTTCCAGGATTTTTCGTGCTGCGTTCCTGACTCCTTTTATTGGCTGAAGATCCCGAACTCTGTGGAATTCCCACCGGATTTGAGGGATTCCAGACGGGAATTTTGTGTCCCAAATGGTGGAAACGGGAGCCAAAACGGAGATTCCGGTGAGCTCGAGCTCCGTGGATCATCAGAAGATCCTGGAGATTCCTGGATTCGGGAATTATTCCTTATCCACGTCGTCTCTGGAGCTGAGTCTGGCTTGGAAAACTCATCCCAAAAAAAAAGAGGAAGCGTCTCAGGAGCTGTTGCATCCGGGAGAGCGAAATTCCAGCGGCCGCCGCTCTCTGCGGCCTCGGGGCTGCCGCTTTTCCCCCATTTTTTTATGGATTTCCACTTCCAAACAAATTCCTGGAGGAAGGAAAATCCCGATCCTGGTTGGATTTGGTTCTGCACGGGAATTTCAGCCTCGTTTTGGGGTTTTGGTTCGGCGAACACCCGCGGGATTTTGGGAGAGCCCAAAGGGAAAGGAGGGATGAAGGGAAAAAAATGGGAAAAACTCCTGAAATGTGTCTTTTTCCCACCTTTCCATAAAAAAAATTGGGAAAACCCAAGAAACACCCCTGGAGAAACGGGTGAGGGTTTTTTAGGGTTTTTTTAAAAAAAATCCATGGAATTCATGGGAAAAAAAATCCTGTTCTGACTTAACAGGAAGTACCCTGAGCCAAATTCCTTAAAAAAAAATTCATGGATTAAAAAAACCCCAAGGAATTGGTGGGAATTGTGTCTGGATATGGCTGGATCAGCCTTTGTCGTTATTCCCAATGGAAAACGGGAGCTCTGGGATGAGCTCCGGGCAGGGGGGGAAGCGGCCGGGGGGGATGGATCTGGAATTTGTTGGAGCTTCCTCAGAATTCCTGGTGATCCGTGTGGGACGGATCCAGGGTTATCCCTGTGGGATGGGATCGATCCAGGCCTTCACCCGCTCCTCGGGAATGCTTCACCTTTGGATTTCCGGGATCAGGAGGAGTTGGCGGCTCCCTGGATTGGGGCGAGGAGCAGCCAGGGCAAGGGGAGAGGGGGAGTTTGGACTTCCTGGAATTCGGAAGGTTGGAGGTGAGGAAAATCCAGGATTTCAGGGAAAACATCAGTTCCCAACTACTGGAGCTGTTGGGAAGGGGGAAATCCACACTGGGACACTTCCCACTATTCCAGGTGATCCAAACCCCGTCCAACCTGACCTTCAGCACTTCCAGGGACCCAGGGGCAGCCAACAGCTGCTCTGGGAATTCCATCCCAGCCAGGAATTCCTTCCCAATATCCCAAAATCCAACCAGTGGGAGCCTGTGTCCTGTCCCACCATCCCTTGGGAATTGTCTCTCTCCATGTTCCCTGCAGCTCCTCCAGGTCCTGGAAGGTCACACTGAGCTCACCCCAAAGCTTCTCCTCTCCAGCTCTCCCAGCCTTTCCTCCATCCCTGGCATCATCCTGGTGCCTCCTCTGGATCTCTCCGGCAGCTCCGGTTCCTTCCTGTGCTGGATCCAGGGCTGGGGCCTCACCTGAGTGGGGCCGAGGGGCAGAATTCCCCTTCCCTGGATTTCCTGGCCGCGTTTCTTTCGGATCCTCATTTTTCCAAAAAAACTGTTGCCTTAAACCCTCCTGGGCTCGTGTTTGATATCAAATGTGATGGGTTTTAATTTCTCTCCAGTTTAGGAGTTTGGGATTTTGCTCTCTCCATGGAGAGCAGTGTGGGCACCTTGAATTTTTCCACCGGAATCCGGGATCCTTGTGGGGTTTCGAGAATTCCATCCAATTCCACTGAAATTCTCAAATTCCTCCAATCTCGGAATCCACCAGAGCCGGATTCATCCCTGAGCGCCGGGACCACATTCTGGGCGCTTCCTGAACTCCTCGCTCTTCTGAGCTCCCAGGAAAACTCAAATTCCACCAAAAACCGGGAAGAAAACTCAGCCAATTCCCAGCTTTTCCAGCTCCGAGGAGTTTGGCTCTAAGCAGCTTTTTGCTGCCTGGTGGTGCCGGGTCTTAATTTCAACAAACCTCGTTAAAGGATTACGAAGGCCTCGTTAAAATAATGCCCTCGGAGCTCATTCCTGAGTGGAAGGAAAAGGAGGATAAACAGAAAAGGTTCTCTCGTCCCCAGGGTCGTGGCTTGGAGTGCTTTGAAAGGAGAAAAAAAGGAGGAAAAACTGGCAGGAATTTGGGAATATGTAAACACAAAGGCGCTTTTCTGGGAATATAAAGTGAGTTTTGAAAACAAAATTATATTTAATTAAATTAATGCTGATGTTGGGCCATGGCGGGGAAAGTTTTACCTCGGAGAAATCATCAATTAAAAGGGAATGGAAACAGTTCCGGAGGGGAGTTGCTATTTTTGTCTTTTTAATGGAGTTTAAGAAATGGGAA